TTTGACGTCAAAAAGAATTCCACTGTCATCTTTTATATTATTTTTTTTTATCCTTGATATTTCCAGAAGAAATTTTTAAGTCAGTTCAAAAGATAGTGAAAATTATTTATGACATGTCTGCCATTCAATGCAGCGTACGCTGTTCTTTAAATGATACACTTTCTAAACTTGTTACTATGATATGTAAACATTTTACTGACTGGGCTTATACAATAGAATGTATAGAGAAAAAAAATCCCTAAATTGAATACATTAGCCTTTACTTGATTTACAAAGGACAGACACAAAGCAAATTGTGTTTGAAGAAAATATATTTATATGTACAAAGATATAAATCAAAATGAAAATATCTTGAAATGTACATAAAAATGACGAGAATAATAAGAAAAAGTCTTTCAAAAGCAGAAGTAAATTGTTATTAACATTAGAAAAATGCTAGATTGCAATAGTCTCATTTACGTACAAAGATATAAATTTAAATGAAAATTGAAATGTTTTACTAGAAAAAGACATTAATGGTAATCTAACAACAAAGAAGCTTTATGATAAACGTGATGACTTTAACTTTTCAATCGTCAACTTCCCTTACTTATGCAGCAATATATCCTTATCACTTGCATATGGGGTGTGTATCTCTCAGTTGATTCGATACGCAAGAGCATGCTCTACGTAAGAAAAATTTTTAAAACGAGGTAAGTTATTAACAAACGGGTTGATGAAACAAGAATATCAACAGTCTCGTTTAAAGTCATCATTTCGTAAGTTCTTTGGTCGATACAATGACCTTGTAAGGAAATACAATCTATCATTAAGTTACATGCTGACTGACGTTTTTCATATTAATTGTTATGCCATTATTTACACAATGAATTGTCGACGGATTTTTCCGTTATTTCCCGATCATGACAAGGGGCACACGGCGGGTGTGACCGGTCGGCAGGGGATGCTCACTCCTCCATGGCACCTGATACCACCTCTAATTTTTTTGGAGGTCCGTGTTTGCTCTGCTCCCGATTTGTATTGTTTGAAAGGACTTTGAGCTTGAACACTGCACGTTATCTCCATATTTCATGTACATAAAAATCAAAATAGATTTAGTTTTCAGAATATGACAAGAATTAAAAAAATCTTTCAAAAGCATAAGTCAATTAATTAGTATTAACGTTAGAAATACGAGTATATTATGTTAGCAGTTAGGTGGGTTTAAAACCCTTATCATCTTTATATTTGGTTGTGGAGTGTGTCTCTGTTAACCACTCCACGGTTTGTCATTCCTTAATTCTCTACCTCTCCCTGAATACTTCACCTCTAGAGATGGTCTCTAAACCCCTAATCTTTTAAAATCAACATTTATCTAACACAGTAAATGTGTTTAATATTGCAAGTATACATTGTATTTCTCCACAAAAATGACATCGATGACTCAAAGCGAAAACACTGTACATTCATAATCATAGCACTGACTAAATTTACATTGAACATGTTCCATTATTATATCAATGATGTTTTTTATCATCTAAGTGAATTAGGGAACCTATAGGGCTCACGGTGGGTGTGACTGGTCGACAGAGGATGCAAAGGGAGATACTGTAAACGTATTACATTTCCCGATTCTATTCTATTTAGCTCCTTTGGCGGAAAGCATCTTCCGCTAAATCAAGTACATTTAATTGTCTCGTTTCCAGTACATTCAGAAATGCGCTGAATGAAATCGAAAAAGCATCCCTGCGTGGAGTAGTGATTAGAACGTTTTCTCTAGAGTTGCAGATTAAGGAGGTGATCCTTACGTCGCGGGTTCGAATCCAGTGTGTGACGTGGAGACCTGGAACCAAGATAGGGACACAAAAGTGTCCAAATATTTTAGAATACAAACAAACATGATTTTTTCCCATTTCTTTTTTCATCAACACAGACCTCAAAGCTTCACGACCGTTAAGACTACGTCAAGTTTCAATCAAATATGCAAGCATCCTCAGACCTAGTAGGAAACAAAAAGCTGTCATGTGATTCGCATGTGATCGTGTAAAAGACTCGATCGCAGTCAAAATTAAAAAAAAGGAATTATAATTATATCAATATAATGTCTTTTTACACTTTATAGTATTGTGATTACCTAACAGTTATCTAGTAACTTATGCCGCTCTTTTGCGGCGAAGTAGAGGATACTCTAAATCTCACGAGATTTCCGGGGCATATTAACAGATCTGATTATGCTTACGCTAGTGACAACTGAATGATTCGAACAATTAGTATACCGAAAGCACAATATATTGCAAAGGGTTGAACTTCAAATAGTATGTTGCCTAATTTGGAATGTTTTGAGTTTTTTTTTATCAGCTTCCAAAAGTAACAATTATCAAAAAGAAATGGTTGAATTTAATTAGAAGAGTCGGCTTAGTCAAATGTAACACATTAGGACTAGCTTTTCTCAAGTTTTAATTCATGAAATATGGAGATAACGAAGAGTATTCAAGCTCAAAGTCCATTAAAACAATACAATTCGGGAGCAGAGCAAACACGGACCTCCAAAACATCAGAGGTGGGATCAGGTGCCATGGAGGAGGGAGCCACACCCGCCGTGTGCTCCTTATCATAATCGGGAAATAAAAAATCCGTCGACATTTCAGTGTGTAAATAATGGCCTAACAATTAGTATGAAAAACGTCAGTCAGCACACGACTTAATCAGGTCCGTAGGAAGCAATTTCACTTTGAGGGGGCACAACCATACATTTTCAGTTGGGGAGGCACTATCAACTACCAAAATTCCTTGACAAGCAAAAAAAAAAAAAAAAAAGTCATCAGAAGTTATTATTGAGGGGGCACAAACATATAGTAGCTATGTTTTCTATAGTATTCTATATATCGGCAAAATTATTGGGGGGGGGGGCACGCCCCCCCCCCCCCCGGTTCCTACGGCCATGTTAATGATAGATTGTATTTGCTGACAAGATCATTGTATCGACCATAGTACTTGCAAAATGATGACTTTAAACGAGACTGTTGATATTCTTGTTTTATCAACTTGTCAATAACGTACCTCGTTTTAGAAATTGTTCATAAGTAGAGCATGCTCTTGCTTAACTTAGAGGTATACACCCCATATGCAAGTGATAAGGGTATACTGCTGCATAAGTAAGATGAGTTGACGATTGAAAAGTTAAAGTCATCACGTTTATCATAAAGCTTTATTGTTAGATTACCATTAATGTCTTTTCCTAGTAAAATATCCAAATATGAAACAGATGTGTCAGACTCTGTGGTATCTTTTATTTCAAGCTCACCGGGATATATCTGGAAATAACAATTGTTAATTGACAATACGTCGTCGATATATCTAAATGTTGAGTTGAAGGCCATAGCAAGAGATTTCTTTTTCTCATGTATGAGATGTTGAATAAATTCTGCTTCATATGAATATAGAAATAGGTCTGCTAATATCGGGGCGCAATTAATACCCATGGGAATTCCAACAGATCGTTGGAAGACTTGGTCTCCAAAAACCATTTCATAAAAAATGTTTTTTGCTATCGTTCTAGGGCGTTAGCAACTACGTTAGTCTTTTTTACCGGAATACACAAGCTCGACTTCATGATAGGACACACAGGCTTTTGGATCGCTTAAATCTGACTTTAAAAAATTTGGGGTGTATAAAAAAGATAAAGGTATGGAACTCCTTACATGGTGTACCCACTTTCGCTAATAAATTAAATCGAATGCTCTAAAATTTTACAGTAACTTTCTATTTATATCTATTTATATCTAATCAATCTACATTACTACTAAAGTTCATTCCAAATTCCTTATACTTCCCGAAATATGCTGATATCAATTCCAAAATTTACCTACTTTTTTTTTACTCATCATAAGCTTGGGCCCCTGGTTATTTACATATATACAGACGGTGTTTGAACTGCAGCGAACAGCTGCATAGTATTTGCACAATCTTTCAGCATTTTAAAGTTGATTTTTTTGACTCCAGATCGTAAGATTAAGTCAGTAATAATTTCTTTCGCGAAAAAAAAAAATTAGAACACGTCTGCTTCAACAACTGCACAGCCATGTTGTTTATTAATGTAAAAAGAGCTTTGATTGAATGAAATTTTCCCGGAATGTAAAATATACCTTTTGATTTTTTATTTTTAAAAATTAGAACGCTAAAATGGTGGTGGTAATTTAGTAAGACCATATGATCAAATCAGATAAAATTTTGTGGAGACTGAGAGCTAATAAACAAATATTCAGAGAGTGTAGAATAAATTCCGGGGGAAATTCATCCCGTCGTTCCCGCTTTACAATTAGTGTAACTATTCAGAGGCCCAAACTAATGTCGAGTAAAAAAAAAAGATAAGGTCAATTTTGGAATTGATTTCAGCACATCTCGGGAAGTATACGGAATTTCGGAATGAACTTTGGTAGTACGGTAGATTATTTATATGTGAATAGTTACGAATAGAAAGTTTTATATCATTTGATTAAAATGTATTTTATTGGCAAAAGTGGGTATCCTATGTAAGGAGTTTCATACCTTTATTTTTTCTAACACCCAATTTTTTTTTTTTTTTTTTTTTTTTTTTTTTTTTTGGTATGTCGGATTAAAGCGATCTAATTTAAAGGCCTGCGATAAGGCATTCTCGGAATAATACAGTAAATAAAGATAAACTGTACCACATGTCATTTTCGTTTTATCATCTGAAAATACATATGATCTGAAGTTTCATGTTTTGTTGACTAACCTGTACATAAATGTACAAAAGCAACTGTATAACTTAAGATCTTTTGATGCCAAGACTGTAGAGATAACTTATTTCTAAAATTATAATGAAAACATAGCAGTTTTCTTAACTATACCTTCCTGGATCTTTCCTGCAAGCAACTTTGGATAAGTTTTCCGAGCTTGCCGGAAAGGCCCGAAATAAATGCGATTGCTACAAAACAGAACCACGCTGGAATATTTTAAACATGGTGCTCATTGGATCTACTGATCTTTTATTTGTCACCTCAAAATTGAAATTACAGTTCTAAATTACAGAATGCTTAAAGCACAGTAAATGACTTAAGTCATTGCCAATGTGAAGCCCACTCTAGACTCACTATTCTGAACTGAGATCCATCCCGCAAACATCATCCCAGGTGCACCACTGTGCTTTCCTATTCATAATAATTAATCGATTCAGCAAATTAAACCAATGGTTCAGATATCTACTTCTGTGTTTTATCATGGCCATTACGCTAGCTCACCTATCTTTTTTAAAAGATAAACTTGTACACCTACGTGGAGTGTTGTCCCGGTGTGGTATTCAGGGTTATGTTTCTTTTTCGCCATTTTGATTCTCAGTATGCCGGAAACACGTCATTGAATGAAGCAAATCTAACAGCAAGAACCGTACATGTAGCAGTATCTGAACAAACCTAATAACATTATACATAACAAAAATAAACAATGCAACTCATAAAAAAAAAGACAATTACTGGAAAATTTAATTTGCTTTGTAGTCTTTTATATATTATAAAGAAAAAAAATCCTTTATGCACAACGAGCAAACCCCATGAAGAAAAAAAGTGATTGCGTGTATAAAAAATATTTGTGGTACTCCATAATCATTATCCAGGTACAAAACAGAATTTTATTTAAGACCCATAAAATCAACCTACACGTGCACATTATCTGAAAATTCATTTCCACCTCTGTGTGAAAACAAACTAAAGAACTGTTATCCCCTTTTCCGTTTTAGTTCTTTGCACAAAGCTTTTTCTAATTAAATTACTTGTTGAGGCTTCCAGAATCAAAAATACTAATATCAGATTTGTATTTTATAACGTTATTTGTCCTTCAGAAAAGCACCCTTTAAACCTTTCACGATGACTTTTAGATTTCATACATGACTGGTCTTCTACAATGGAATTTATAGCAAGACAAATAGATAGAATACATTGGCTTTCATTTGTTCTTCTATAAACAACAACAAAATTAAATGGAAATCTGCTGCACACTGTTACGTGGTAATTGGACAAAAAAAAAGGGAGGGGGGGGGGAAGGTTGAGAACTTGTGGTTTGTTTTTACATCTTAAGGAACTTTACACAAGTGTTTCAACATGTTGTCTCTGTTTTTGTATTAATTTAATTGAAACAATATTTATTCATAAAAGTGAATGGGATTGGGCAGCAGGCACAGCCTATTTTAGCCATTTCCCTAATGAATTAATGCATTGAAGTGAGGTGTCCCCTGCCTTCCCAAAGATGTCACAAGGGCGGCTTTCCAATCATTGCTTTGTGCAATTCAATATTCCCTCTACCAAAGAAACGTTTTGCATGATCCGGGACTTCAGAAAATCCCAGATACATTTATATTAATAAAAGATCAAAAATATTTTAACACATAATATAATAGATCAGTTTAACAAATGTCTTCTAGTGCGCAGCTGTTCTTTTCCAAAAAGAATCTTCATTGAAAGTTTAATGATTGTAAAATAAGACGCTCATGGACGACAACGCTCACCTGAGTCACATATAAGTTGTGGTTAAATGGACACCCTTCTTGTAGCCATCAACTTAAAATCAATGACTTCTACATGATTAATTGTGAAGCTGCTGGGTTTTTTTTTTGAGATTTTCAAAAGATTTCACTATAATATGTTAAACTTTAACTCTAGAGTTTGTTCCCATGCACCTTTGCTCCGGGAGTAATATTTTAAACAAATATAAATCTACACTACATGTACATGAAATGCTTTCTGCTCTTTATAATGAAATTTTAAAAAAATCCTTATTCGTATATAAATCATTCATTTTCGTTGATTGCGAAAAAAAAATTCTTGGTTGAGGAAGTGTAATGTTGTTATATTTCTTTAAAATTTCACATTTCGTGGAGGACATGAATTCGTGGATCTCTTCATACCTTGAAAATTTAAGCCCCTCGAAAGTAAGTGATTATATAATTATATATATTTTAACTCTATGATGGCCTTGCCCTATAGCTTGGGAAATATGGTTCAAATAAACTTGAATCTAGTATACACTAAATAGGGACGATTGCTTTTGAAAACATTTCAGAAATATTTTTACTATACAATGTGTATTCCTACTCGATTTGACCACTCTCATTATGACCACACCCCATTGACCATGTTTTGAACAAAGTTAACTTACAGCTTCCCATCATTTATCTTTTCTGTCGCAGTGGTTCATGAGAAGATTTTTTAAAAGACCAAAACGTCCACCATCCATCATGAACCTTTGGTTCAGGTGAGTTAAAATCCAGAAGCTTTGTATTTCATAATTCACCGCCGTCTGCCCTTGAAACAAAACAAATTTAAACATTTAACCATGACCTTAAAAGTTCTACGTGTATAACATACTGATTGATTACAATACATGACCTAAAACCATATACCTTATTTATCTAAATTACTCACATTTACAGTCGGTCGGTATTTAATTTGTAAAAATTCCAAGTCACACGTTCACAATGCAAATTCCAACGGCTGAAAAGTGCCCACGCATCCAAACATGGAGTCATTTGTACAAATCGTGTTGGAGGATCATGTTCATGCCTCTTTGTTTTGTCCTAATTTTTATATTAATTTTGTTGTTTGTACCTTTGGTTAGTTTGACACCTAAACACTGGGCTTATATGAAAATCCATTCATGTCACAATCTGTTTATAGAATTCTTTTGCAATATTGGATGAATTATTACGCTGGAGTACTCAGAAATACCTGAATATTATCTTAATATAATGAAAAAAATCTATTTATGAGCACCACATTTTTGAATAACTGCAGATTTACATCTAAAACGGTAAGATCCGCTTTTAACTCCAGTTCTATGTGGATATTGCGGAATAAGTCATGTCTGGAAACTATTTGATTTGTTGCACGGTAATCCTGTGTGGAGTTAGCAAGGCTTTTTCCATTTGGGTATTACATGTAAAAGTATAGACATTTCACGCTTTATATTCTATAAGGCTAATTTAATATTGCACGATTAGCCATACTTGCTTATTTCACATGTATATATATATATATGTATCTTCCAAAGACTTATAATCCTACAACGTGTGGATCCGGAGTGCAATATAAGCCTATATCTACCCTTCATTTTAAACAATTAAGAACTGAAGAAAACAATGCTGGAGCTCCAATACTAACCAACAGGTATACAATTGTACCCATTCTCTCAACAAGTAAACGATGATTTAATTAATAAATCAATTATTATTTCATTAGATTTCAGAAATGGAGTTCATTCAAAATATACATTTGTGTAGGCACTTCCAATCTTCTTTAGATTAGGAGTTGTCGCACTTTAAAGGGTTAATAACATTCAAGTTCTTGATTCATCTGAAAACATTCCCCGTCAATGAAAACATTCCCCCCTCGATGAAAACACTTCTCATCAATGAGATTTTATCTTGTTTTGATATACGTGGAAGACACACAATTCAAGACATAAAACGGATTGAGAACATTGTTTTCGTTTTTGCAGTGCCATGCAATTTGTAAACATGGTTTATTGTCCTCTGAACAGCATACGCAGTTTCTTGCACATAAAATGAAGACCAAAACTAATAGTACATAATTAGAGCTGCTTAAAATGTCTCTACAATTTTTTGTATACTTTAAGGGAAATCTTGAACTGTTTTAATCTTTCAAGAATCTCTAATTTATCCCGAGCAAAGTTATTTGCAAAAATGAGCACATTCTAACCCCCTCCCCCCCCCCCCCTCTTCTTAACTCTGTTAGTCGTATTTCATTTCTTTGGAGTGGTGAAGGTCGGGTCTGGGTTACAATAAACTCCCATCTTCAATGCTGCTGATTAAATTTCTTTAATACTGTTAAAATTTACAATACCTTTAATTTAAAAGGCTATTTTAACAAATGAAAACAAGAGCGTGAACATGCATTAATACAACTAATCGATTTTTGGAAATTCATGTACATGAATATCAAATAACTCTTTAAAAATTTTGAGAGAGAATTTCTTGATAATTTTTGAAAATATGGAATTCGAACACTTTGGACAAAAAAAAATATAATAGTTCATAGCTGCCTTTATTTGATATGCCAATACAACAGAAATTATCTAATGGTTTATAAAAATGGGGGAGGGGGGTAATCGTCCCTTTAGGATAAAACTTTGAAAAAAAATGACCCTGCTCCCCTCTTAGAATATATTAACTTTTTTTTACTTCTTTGAAGGAAAAAAAACATGCTTGACTGCTGTGGTTTTCAAAAAAGTAAATTAAGCATCTGAAAAGTTCTTTTACGCGTGTTCGGCTGCACGTGTGCATCGGTCGAAGACGCAGACAAGGTAACACGCTATCTGAACTTGAACAAACGAATTCTTAAAGTGCAAAAATGAAACCACAGTTTGTCGTTATATAAATAAACAGACGCAAGATCATGAAATCTTCTGCACCCGGTAATCTTAGAGCCACCAAAAAACAGGAAACCATTCGTCATCTCACGGAGATATGAAAACAACATATTTTTGGTCCACCCCTTCTGAAATTTCTGGCTTCTGTTTGCACTAGCGGATTATAATAGATAGATCTAAAGATTTATTAATATCATTTCATTTCCGGTTCGTGATATACATGTATTTGTTTTTGTCTTGTAAATTTATTATTTCTTATGTTCAGACATGAATTTTGAAATGGTAAGGTTTCTTTTCCAGTACACAGCAACGAACAATGCGTGGTTCACAGAAAAGGTCTTACTGCTGAGAAATGAAACTACAAAAGAGTTCTGCCACCTCTGTAAAATTATTACAACGTCATGATAGTTCAAACTTTAATTACATGATGTGTTAACCAGGGAGGCGGATCAAAAGAAGGAAGAGAGATTAACATAACGCAAAGAAAAAAAATCTTTCATTTCAAAATACATCACAAGTTGTATGCTTCATTTATCCTTTCTCATATATAGATGAAGATGCATGTACATGTATTCATAATTTTAGTAACCGATAATAACAATAATAAAAAAAACTTAAAACCGTTTGTTGCACATTATTCGGAAATACTTAACACTGTTTAGAAAATAAATAAAAATGAATAAATAAATAAAGAAAGAAAAAACCTTCCTGCTAAAATATACGTATAGAATTTAATGCAATGCACACATTATGCATTTAATAAAAGTACATTTGTGTTAGGTAAAACTTCTTAACATAAATAAATTATAAACAGACTTCTTCATAACTTCTAAACGGTCTGGGAACAACTCAGTAGTAGAAAAACAAGTAGCTACAATTTAGATTAACAACAATGTACAAAATACATAAATTAGTACCAGATTATCTAAGTGGCATTCTTCCCAATATGAGCTGTAATATATCTAGGTATTTTACAAGAAATGTGAAAATTATGACATTCCGAAATGTATAGATAATATACTTATATATGTCAAACTTTGTTTCTACGTACTTTTAGTAATTAATGAATCGAACTTATTTCCAATTAAAATTAGAAATTCACTAATCAATGACTAATTTTAAAACTTAAATTAGTATTTAAAAATCTATTTTGATTTTGAAAAGTCTGCACACCAGGCTTTGGCATAATTGTATACTTTGTATGATCTATATACGAAGAAATTAGGCCTTATGTGCTCAAAGCACGAAGGGGACTAAGTAAGTAAAGTAAGTATATACGATGCAATATAATTTCAAGCCTGTGGCATGATAGAAGATACTGATACATGTAGTTATTTCACTTTATTTGTTTTAAGTATAATCGTGAAGCCAGAATTTTTTTTTTTTAACAAGATTTTACAATTTGATTAGATTTCCTGGGGGTGGTGGTGGGGTTGATAATACAAACAACTGTGACTTAATGTAGACTTTTCATGCAATTGTAGTGAAAGGGTGATATAAGTTTTTAAACTTGTACCAATAAAGTATGTTAATACCAGGTACATGTAAAACTTAAAGTTCTGGAGAATTTTGTGCATCATCATTATAGATTTTGAATTGACTGGATAGAGGTTAACACATTTACAGAATAACTGTTAAATCTTTTTTACCTCTTCCGAGCAAATTCAAATTTTATAACATGATACATTTGCCTTTGTATGAAACAAGTATATTACATCAATAACTCTTTGTATCATTATTTTAATAATTTTGCAAAAGGGACCTGTGAATTGAAGCCTTAGAGCTTATATGTTCTAGTACCTCTAAAGTTATGTGCCGTGTGATCCATCATTCCTATAGCGGATAAGGAAATGCTATGTTGTGTAAGACAGTAACTATATACTAAGTATCCCGAATGAAGTGTTATCTGTATCGACTACATGGGGCGAATCGAGCAATTTTTGAGAGGAGCTTCCAGAGTGGTGCCCCTCCCTCCACCCCCCCCCCCCCACACACACACACTTAGATTCAAAATATCATCTTAGGCCGAGGTAAATAATATCTTTTGTTTTACGTCCCTTGATCCTTTGAAAAGGTACCATCCAGTCCGAATAAAAACAAACACATTCCAAATACTACTGTAGCCTTAAAATTGAATGGATTTGAAATATTTCAAAAAGAATTCAGAGAAAAATTGTTGAGAATTTGACAAACTTGTGTTTGTTTTTTTTTAACTGAGTTTTCCTGAAAACCTACCCGCCAGGGAACGTAAAAAAATGAATTTACTGTGACCTTATGCATACTTCCTTTAATGTCTTATTTCTAATAAATTAGTTCCTTCAAAATATCATCCGAAAATGGTACAGTGTGTTTCAACAAACATGTCCCAGATTTTGTCTATACATCTGCACAATAATAATTTTTTTACAAACCAAGAACTGTAATAAATAATATGTTTTCCAGCAATATATATTATAATATAGGCACAATAGTTAACAAAAGAAATTAATGTAACTTATTATGAATTATTTCATCATGATTGTAAATCATTGTCAATTCTAAACATTTGTAACCCTGACCTTCTTGGAGAGGACTTACATGTATATAGGCCATGCCTGATGTCCAATCCAATTATGTAAACTGACTTTACATAATAAAATACTGATTAAATTAAAAAAATATATAGGCACAATATACTACAGATGTATAACGCAATAATTGTCTTTTCAATGTTTTGATTATATCATCAGAAGTCAAGTGATCGGTATTTTTTCAACGAATAATAAATGATATCTCTGAACCGATATTGTTAAACTGTACTATGGAAGCCGAAAGTCGCCAATACTAATGAAAAGGATTTTGACAAAAGGTAAACAGATGAGAAGCATCTTTCAATAAAACTGGTATTTCGAATTTGTCAAAATTTGACCAATGTGAGACTTCGGAGTCAAAACTAGTCTTTGACTGAGAAACGCCGCAGCCGTTTGGAACATATTATCAAATGATGTTACATGTATATCGAAAACTGCTCCTCAGGTCCATATTTTGAAAATGCCTGTTTTAAGAATAAATAATCCAGTTTTATTTAGACTGTCATATTGATAAAATTATATGGATATGTGTTTTTTCTCTTTTTTTCACTGAACCTCGCATGTTTTTTTTAAAATCAAATATTGAAATGAGCAGAATAAATAAAAACGCTGAAAGGGAGGGATAGTGAAGTTAAATGGAGGAAAGGAAATATGTCAGATCCTATTTAAAATAAGTGGAATATGAGCAGAGATTGCGGCTGATCCAACTGCTCTGTCGCCGGCGACAATATGTACCGATGGACAACAATATGTGCAGTGAAGGTATACATATTGTCGCCGACGACAATCCACTGTAGGACGTACTAGATGCCGACACGAAAAAGATTCCACTGCCCAATGGTCATGACTTACCGAATGCCGAGTATAGTCTAAATTTGCAGCCTTCCACCAATAATTTGGTGAAAAATTCTCAAAGCAAACAAACAAAAATTATGCTTACAATGATATAACGATATCATTTGTCGGCTATGCCAGAAACCAGCTGAAATTGCCCAAGGTTATCATTCAGACTTGCATTGTGAAAGTGATCAAACACCTGAAACATACGATACTCTCAGAAGACCTTGGCGTGAAACGATAGTCTATGACGCACTTTGTATAGTAATTGAGGGTTAAAAAATATAGTATCTTTGGCAATGTTTTACATCAAGCGAACGCTGTCACGAAAGTTAAGGCTGTCTTGGATCGATCGAGACGTGGCGACTGAAATAATACAGAAGTGGTTCATGTAGACAATTCCGTCGGCTTTGTCCCACCCCCTCTTCCGTTGTTTGTTACCCGAGAATGACTCAGAACACCTTCAAGCTAGCACTTATCCATAAAATGATCAAGAATTTGTGGAGTTGAGTGCACTTTCTTAAAATTTTTCTGTTTTATTTGAATTAAAAAAAAAAAAAGTTCTTTTTTTTAAACAGACTAAATCAGCTTGTATTTTCTATTGGCCATGGATAAAAATACATTGTAACAGTTTAAAATTCTTAAGAAGCACATTCGATTTTTAGAAATACCATATAAATTGTGATGTTGCTAAAATTTGGTACCCCAAGTAAGTTAAATCTAACATTTAATGTAAAGCACATTAAATAAGTACATATATAAGGATTGTTTAAAATATATAATCCCAGGAACGAATTAATATCCCATTATAAAGCTAATTTTACTCGAAATACTAATGAGCAAACTTACTATGTATTCCCCAAATAGGAAAAGGTGTACTTTCTTTGCAGAAGCGCACATATAGTAAATGCATCTTTATACACTCCTGTAATTGTATAAATCTTCGTTTCTCAAAGTAACTGTATGGGGGAAAATGTTCATAATACATGTCATGTATACATAAACTATAAACTATACTCGTCGATGTCGGTCCATATTGAACAAAGTAGTCTTTCGTGTAATGTGCACGAAAACGGTTACACCTTCCGAATGTATCATTTGCATCCTATGTGTCTCTTGTTCAGTATTTTCTCCTTTTCGACGAAGGGAATACATAATTATTGTTCTGTCCAAAATTCTTCTTGTTCTTCTCGTAACACTTTTTTTCTTTTGCCTATTCTTATTAATGTATTAAAGATGTGTCGTCTACCATCATAACCCTATTTGACCTTGACTTTTGACCTAAAAATGTTTTATCTAAGACTATCTAAATTTATTTTCATCTTTAATCTAGGCAAATGATGTTTGATACATAATTTTGTAGGTAAATCATCATAATACAAGCCATTTTTCATAGCCGTCCCCACATGACCTTGAGCACTGTCCTCAGAATCAAATTTCCATCTTTTTTTGGACAATACCTTTTATATTTAGCATAAATATCATAAGAAACAACGAAGCAGACCCTGTGTCTGTTAAACAAATTGTTTTTTCTTTAAATCATAATTCAGTATATTAATTCTTCTTTCAACAAATAAAAAAAAAATATATATTTAGGCAAGCAACTTTTACGAAATTATTAAAATTATTAAGTATACCATCTTCAAGAACAAGCTTAAAGTTTGGTATTAGTTACAAGTTCTTTTGTAATATTAAGTCCGGGACTCTCATATGCTCTTGATATTTGACCTCATATATATTATATATATCAAGAATTTTAATAATTTTTTAACTTTTAACAAAGGCTTCGATTTATAGCATATTTAAAATGATATAATGATGCTTGAAGGGGTGACACACCTCTTAAAATTGTGAAAATATACATGTATTTTACAAAGTTTGAGCTGAGAAAGCTTTGGAATTCTGTACAAAATTACACATACCTGTGGATAACATTACATATACTTGTGGAAAATTCCATTTTCATCAAAACACGAGACTCTAAAACATTTTTTCCCTGCTGCAATTTGCTTTTACATTTTTTGCAATATGTAATTGTCTGCAACTCTTATATAATTAGAGTCACTTTGCATATTTTTTTTTTTTCGCTTCGCATTACAAATAACCCTTAGACTGTGAAAATTGATGTATTAAAAGACGGGTCTCCAAAGATCAAACATGGCAACAAATTTCTGCAACAGAAATAAGCAACAAAATCATGTGAGAACGCGGAAATGATATCAGTCTAGCCACAGAAATTGGGTGGTCATATACCCCATTGTATGCTACCTTTAATATAAACCACATCCCAGACGAAGGGTGTCGATTTCGTTGATATGAAAATGATATATCTTTCTTAAACTATTTACCATACAATATTAAATTATATAATGGGGCTGTGGACAATTTTTAACGTATCAGCGTATGAAAAAACCCTGTTGTTTGGAGGAGCTATATTTTATCTGTTTGTGCATTGTTACATAATTATTTTCTACAGTAAGAGATCTTCAGATGAGTTGTACTCCTTGTACACTTTTTTGCCTTTGGAAGATCACATCGAAAAAAGGGTATCAATTGTTTTCAATACACGGTATCTCTTGTAAACACGCCTATATCAAAATACATGACCATTGTCAACCAGGAAATTCACGTAATCGTCCTTACAACTGCAATTCATGACCTACAAATTGTGGCCAATACACGCTGCTATATTAACACACCTGTCTAAGGTAAATATCGGTTGTCGGGAAGAAGACATTTAGAAGTAGTCCCGTATCTATTTATATAGTTCTGTTTTCTTTTGATAAAGCACAACCTCAAAAATAACCATTCAAAACATATCAATCGTAAATAATGCAATTACCTGCTAATGCAAGAGCAGCGACCGTGCACCTGAATGCGGAATTATTACGTGTTATATAATTGATTGTAAAATCCTGAAGTTGTCTACGCCACCTTCCTGCAGATCGCGCCAATACGCTCGCCTTCCGCGCCGTATGCCCCTCCCCCAACTCGAGACTGTACCGACTACCAGTCATGCCTAATAAAATGCAGTGACATCGTTCAGTAAGTTACTATCAAAACTACTAGCAGACAAACACGTGCTTCAGTCAGACAGTAACAATTCACGACACTGTCTCGACATAAACCCCAGGATAGATTATCTGTCTATCATGATCATTCAACTTCGTGTGTGAGCTTTGTTTTTTTTTTCTTTTATTCCCCCCAAATGATAATGGTTTGATGTGCGATAGTGTTAAGATGGATGCTAACTCTTTAATTATACTCTTCCTCCTCCTGGCTTGGGTCGGTCGGACACAGGGTGAGTACTATACACAAGACTTTTACAACTTTTATCTTTCTGTTTCTAATTACCTACTTCTCTCAATGATACATGTAACTTTATAGAAGTATTGTATACGTAAGAAAATATATACACCACTAATTTACATTAGTATTGTAGTCTTTCCCTTCTAACATGTTTTGATTTCCATTGTATTTTTGATTAAGTTCTGACAGCATTAATGTTTTTTTTTTTTTGCAATATCAACATATTCTGAAAGCCATTCTTGCAAGCTGGGTTCTTAAGATTTCGCACTTGTCACCTAAAATTTTTCATGATTAAATTATCAAATTTGTATTTATCATACGTACGGACATTTTTAACAATTATAAATATTTTCCATGTTAGTAAGCGTGAAAAAATATCTGGATTTTACAAAGAATGCCATGTGCAAGGTAGAGACAAGTAGGAAGTTCTCTAGCTTTTTCTAAATTAAAAAAATATTAATACAATCTGACTATTAAAAAAGGATTATTTATTCTAAATTGTTCCATTTCATAAAGCTTTTGAAACTACGAAAAAAAAGATTATTTATTCTAATTTTTTTCCTTCATATCAAACTTTTAAAACCTTTTCTCGTAAAATCTACCTTTAATTCGGTAAATTTTCTTGCGTAGGTCTTATTTAAAAAATCTGCATAGTAAAGTTGGCAAAAGAACCTATATGAATGGCGAAAAGTAATTAACTTAACAAAAGATGCGTGGGACCCTATTTTCACGTAACGGAGAGCTTACGCACTTTTAGCGCCAAAATTTTCTCTCGCACCTGTAGCAGACGTTACCAGTCTGCTGCACATTGCATCATTCACAAAAAGCGGTGTTTATGTAATAGCTGAAGATTATGATAAATTTGCTATGATGATAAATATAGTGTAATTATTAAAAAGCAAAATAGCCTCCCCGGCTGCCCGACATGATCAAAGTATTCTAACACAACAAGAATGATTGAAGTAATTAATAATATATGCGTCAAAAACTTGCAGAAGATATCAATCTGTTTCCGGTGGGCGATAGATTATAGTATAAGTGATGTTCGTGTTGCGTTCTCATGCCTTTGTGAAGATATAAACGAACGCAGTTACCCGGGCCGAGGGTCAGGGCCGAGGCCTAATGTTGAAAACAGCGTTAAACTGTGCATCTACCCGAAGCACTGCCGTGATATGCTACATCAAAGTCACACACTGTCCTTGGAAATCTAAACTCCGACAGTGTATCGTTTGACTGTCAGCCAAATTATACTTATATGTCTTGCATTTACACGATTCCGGGTTCCATTGTGTAGTGTCTCCCTCATCCTTCGGCCGAAGATGACTGACAACCCAGACGTGACAAGGAGTCTGTCCTGTTGTCTGGTCCGCAGAAAAAAAGTAGGTGCGGGCATAGTCTCGACGTTCTGTTTTGTTTTCGAGCAATATTTCCTTAAGCAAACATCCTGAAATCCTCATTCCAGCCGTACCTGTGTGACGGGGTAAGATGGTAAATAGCCTGCTTATCTGCTGGGATGACTGACTTGGGATCAATATGAGTTGATTGATTCTTGTAGAATGTCTAGACGCAGTAAATAAAGTTACATAATTTATAATACAGCATATACATAGATATGTCGCTAGCTGAAAAGTGACATGTAGTAGCTGCCGCGCGCCGCACTTCGTCTAAGTCAATAACAGGCCTCAAAGAAGGGGGGAAAAATAAGAAAATAACTCTGCGAATCTCTTTGAAGTCCCTGCACCAGATCAGAAGTCTCAATCGAATTTTAAACTTCACATTTTTCTTTTTTTTGTTCGACATTTGGAGTATGTGATATAGAATGCCGCGGCTAATTGCGTAAACATTATTTACACTTGTTCGTTGTTGACTCAGTTGTAATACAAGTCAACGTGAAATAGTTATTTCCGATCACCTAGAACATTGTTTTCTGTTACAATACAACACTTCAAAGGGAATAGTTTGGCTACCTGGCAAGACAAGACCCTATACCTATTCAAAACATGCGTCCGGAATCGATCAGAGATTACACTGATATCGTATTGCCCCAGACTTAATGCACCCGTTTTTTGTTGTATTTATTATGTCTTTTCCTCCTGTCTTTATTAACTTAAGATACTTCTAATAAAGGATTTAATAAAGAATGCCAGGGGGAGTCCCCCCTATAGGGTCGTATTTTCAGTAGGTAAGTTATTGGCCCCAGTCGACCTACTTTGATCAATAGGAATCGATACACAAATCAAAAAGTTGAGCCACCAGACGAAAGTTAAAAGTACAGAGTGTAAATATTCCTATTTACCACCAGGATTCCATCGATTTCAAGACAAAAATAAAGAACATTTTATTATAAGGTTAAATTATAGTCCATGGACGATCAGAGCTCGCACGCCATCAAATTCTATGTTCTTATATTCTCTATTTTTTGCACTTGACACTTAAGAGGGTGGCTCCGAGTTCTCTTTTAACTGCCATATAATTGTTGTACTACGGTCAGACATTGTTCGAACGGAATTTTCATGAAGAGGTATAATTGGTTCTAAAATTAAAAGATACCGAAAATTTTTAAGAACTTCGATGTTCAATGGAACCTACAAATCGCCGATACTGCGAATTTTTAATCTGTTTTACTGCACCATTCATAAGCTGGAGAATTTTCAGGATTTTGTAATTAAATTTTGTTAATTATAAAAGATATTATACTTCTCTTTTAAGGAAAAGTATTAAAGGCTTTAGTAATGAGTCAGAAGGAAAAAGAACTTCGCACGTTAATATGCCGGTGTCTGAAAAATGCGACTGTCCTAATGAATTATATACAGACAAACGATATTTAAAATGGAAATGATCAAAACACTTAATAAAGAACAAACATGCATTTATTGATGCATATTTTAAAAGTAATGTATGAAAGCGCATCAGAAGAAGCAATGTGCCTTTCATACTAAATTTTCCATAAAAATTTGCCACCTTCGTGACCCAAAAGATAGAGATAAGCAATTTGTATATTTATGTTAATAAGAGACATTGACGCATCTAATTTTAATTGCGTTCATGCAAGTGCTAACGTTATATCTACTCAAGACCTCACGCAAAACTCATAAATTATGTTTGAAGACCATTTCGTTGGATTATTTGTTTCTGATCTCCATCTAATGAGGGGTTAATAACTCAACGTAGATCGCGCCTTCTCAGTTTTACACTGAATACACTCGTATACCAAATAGTCGATCAGAAACAGGGAATTAGGAATCGTAACTTTTGGTGCTGAGAATTTAAAATTCTAATAAACCGTAAAATCTGGTTGTATTTATTAATAAGTATGAAGCATAAAACTATGATAAAAGACATTTTCAGAGAATGCAGAAAATTTCCAAGAAAAATCATTTTCCTTGTATTTCCCCCAAAAATTATCAAAGGTTTAAGGCAGGTATTTGTCCGCATTCTTAGAAATTTCTGCTATTAATATCCACCAGAAAGACGAGAATTTCTGGATATTTGTGCATGATTATTTCATTTGTGTCAAAGCAAATCCATTCAACCCGTTTGATGTGCGTAAAACAAATTTATTTTCATATTATGTATTCTATCTCAAATAACATTTACGCACCGAAAGGGCGCCCTACATTTCGATATTTTAAAAATTCTGGGGACTAATTACTGAGCGTGCCGTGACCTAAAACACTTTTACAGTAGCATAGTAATCACGCTTAAACCCTTAATTGCTGAAATAACTACAACTTTGGAAACCTTACTCACTAAAATTTCACCCTTGAAATAATGTCTTTTTCAAAATACAAAGAAAGGATTAAACGAAATTTTCTGATTTATTAGATGTTTTAAAAACAACGTCATACGTATCCATGATTGTTGTTTTCCGGGGTTGATTTCAGGTGAAAGAGGGCGGTCATTCACCCAAAGGTCAAACACAGAAGTGACGGACAGAGGGAAGAATTGTCTAAAAACGGGGGGGGGGGGGGGGGAGGACGAAAATAAAAATTATTCAAAGTGTAGTAAATCAAAAATTTTCAAACACGCCAAGATCATAAAATGTATCTTTTCATATAGTTTTCTGCAGAATACTTAACATCGTATTCCAAACAATTTTTATAAGATATTACCAAATTTCAATGGTGTTTTGTTGAAAATAAGAAAGGGATATATCAAAAAGATTCCGATTATTCCATAACGTAGAAAAACCTTTCACGATACAAAAGACAAAGTGCGCCGATTCCTTTGTACTGCCATTTGTAGGAGTGATGAGTATAAGTAATTGAGGCCTGGTTATCAACCGGACGTGTCTCTTTTGTTTTAATACTCGATCTGCACTTGTTGACCGAAATAAAATCAAGTAGGAAGTATAAAGCCTTTTTTAAACTCTTTTAATAAAACGAGTGCTTAAGTTTAGAAATGCTATATCAAGCAGTAATCGGCACGTACTTCTAAAACTAAGGGCCGTGTTGAACATAGCGAATATGTGAACTTAAAAAAGTTCATAAATGATTTTTAGATAGCTCAGCAATTGCATTTTAAAAGTATTGTAGATTCCTTCATTAGTGCTGATATGGGTGGGTGGGTGGGGGGCATTGTCATCAAAGGTGGCTGGAATTTTATTGTTTTCTATTTAGATCACCTTGAGATTTTGCTGTATTGTTTGTCCATCCCCCGTCTGTATTGTATACATGTACATGTACTATAACTCTATGGCTCGATGATATGACTGTCATTATCAAAGAACATTTAAGTGCATGTACATGTGTGTGTAATCTGCCACCTACAATTTTGGGGAAAAAACAATCTCCCCGGAATAAATTCTGCTGATGATTATTCTCTGTATATCTGCTGGACCTTGAAAAATGCTGATAACAATTTTATTTATTCAACGATTATTATCAAAAGGCAATCTGGAAATTCCCTTGTACTCTACCCAGAAATAAGCATCGGATTCGTTGAATCTTGCTAACTTACCGACTTATGTCATATAAATTATATTCTGTGATTTACACAGATTTATAGAGATATCATCTATTAATATTTCATTTTGGTACGGAGCGTTCGTTTTGCTTTCGCCTGGGCTGCGAGCTGCAGTCAAGGTTTAATCTGTGTAAAATACCTGCCCTCGCACTTCCTATTACACACTACGATTATTTACATGGACTTCAACACGCGGAAGTAGGGAAGTTTAAAGTCTCGGTTTTCTTCATATTTTGTTGATTTGTCGCAATTCATAGAAATCTTAATAAAGGGCTCTGGTGACAGTTAAGAGAAATTCTATTGTTTACTATTTCAGTTTCGGTATTTTTGTCCCCGACTGATTTCCGGACAACTGAATATATCCCTGAAGAATGGAAACCGAGAATTAAATGACTATCGATTGACATGACATTTTGAATTATTACTCCAGACATAATTTTCTTGAAAATATTGAAACATATCCAGCAAGGTTACAGGGGAGATCCCACATTCCGATGACTTGTGACGCTGAAGAACAATTATTTCTAGTTAATTTCATTGCTTTTAAAGTTGTTATTGAATTATTAATTAACTTCGAGGTCAGTATTGTTAAAACGCAATCAAAGGCTACCGACAGGTAAATCAACACCAATCTGTTTACTCCTTCGTTTCTGAAGTAATTTAATAACACTTTTAAGGCTCTGCTTCAGAATAATATGAATGTATAAAAATGTTTAAATCAAAGTTTTCCTCATACACATGTATACAGTGAGGATAAATTACTGGTATGTAGTTTTTTTTTCAACACTCCATATACACTGTATATATATTAATACACGATATTTCCATCTTTCTTAAGGACGCTCTCTACACCAATGAAAATGTTCTTTTAGGAACTTGTATCGCACAAAGGTGTAAATATACTGAGTTTATTTTATTTTCAACATAGGGAACCGGCAATTTACTCCAGGAAAAAGGTTCAAAGCAAAATATTGAAGAATACAATATGTAGCAATCACTGTTGCTTACTTAATATTGGGAAAAGTACATGTACATCCAGATAAAGTGTTCAGTTGATTTATTTTGGTTTAATAAAATGTTACGAATATGCTTGAACTGATTACGAATTCAGTAATATATACTGTATATATTTCAATAAATTTGATTTTAGATCTAAGGGCAAATTACACTAGCTGCATAAAAATTCGAACTCTTCAGTGTGAAATGAATATATAGCTCTTTAAACAAATAATAATTTGATACTAGGAGTTTTATAATAATTCAAGTAAAACAATGAACGACATTTTTCAGCGGGCACCTGTTGGTTGTCGATGACAAAACAGAAGATGTGTTTCGGGGCCTTCAATCTGAACGTGACGAAAGAAGAATGCTGTAAGAATCCCTCTCCGTACGTGAGCTGGACCCCTCAGACTTTCACTTCCACCGGAGATCTCTTCTACTGGCAGGAGCTGATAGGGGGCGCTCCGCACTGCGAACTTTGTCACGGTAAGAGAAACAAAATTTCAAAGTAATCTGTAATTGGTAAAGTTTAATAGACTTTTGTTAAACAGGAGTTTTCTTTGATATCTTAAATTAATTGGAATTTAAATGAAAGAAATTGTGTATTTGCTTAACACCACACGAGGGCCATTGTATTGTGATACGAAAGACCAAATTACTGATGTCTGATATAACACAGCAATTAAAAGTTTTCCTGTTAAAAGGATGACTTGGAAGCATAAAGACCAGATGTTTCGCCGCCGAAGTTTTACAGAACTGATGTACAAAAGTCGAATGCATTTTTTTTTCACGAAACAAATATTAACGAGTTAACTTTTTCTAATAAAAAAAGCGCTACATTTTTCTCCAGAAGTGAAAAAAAAAATCTTGCTCACATAGAGAAAAACTTGTTATGTACACTTTCATCACAACGTATGCATACCGAAAATTAAGTTAAAGATTGAAAAAAAAGAAGCACCCTAGGCCGTTGCCTAATCAGCGCGAAGATGGATATTTTTGTCGGATGCCCAAGGACAAAATTTCATATAGCAGGAATATTACACTCTCATTTGTTATCTTAAGGGACAAGATTAGGTTTCAAAGAACTTTGAAGAAACATATCAAAATATTGTAAAAAGATATCGAAAAATGTTTCCTTGTGTACGCAGATTCTAATATTGTAACTAAATTAGCACATCTCTTGTCAAATTTTTTATGTGACTAGCGAAACCTTTACATATATGCATACATGTATAGTTATTTAAAGATATTTTTTTTTTATAAATCAAGAACAAATGAATTATATTTTTGTCTACTAAATACAGCAATCTAAAGCCTTAGATGGCGACAATTGACGAGTAATTAATCATTCAATTCGTTTAAATACTAAAATGTATGAATTTTTAAAGATATCGTACATAGGGGATATGTACTAAATACATTGCTTTCAATGAATTTTAACTCTCTTCGTTGGCGGTACGACCCCCCCCCCCCTTTTTAATTATGATAATAATTTTTATAACATGCAATTTGATTATTTTACATTTTGTTAAAATTTTTAACTTTTGTTGCACAATATACATTTTTTATAATACCATTCTTGAATGACAGACTGAAATATAGCTATATATATATGTTTCGTTACCATTTCTTAGCTCAAAGGCTTTAAACAAATAAATTTACATTTTACAATTTTCACCATATGCATCTTTTATTGAAATATCATGTTGTAAATTTTGAATTTACTAGGGGGAGGTAAATGCAAAATTTACAACATGATAACTGGGGAGGTAAATGCAAAATTTACAACATGATAGAAATTTCATTTGTAACGAATTGTACAAGAAAGCCTTATACCAGTTATTTTTATTATTGTATTTAATTTTGTTGTATCCCCCATATCTTGTATGAACCTCAATGTTACGCATGTGTCAGCATCATTTGAACCTTTTCAATCCTTTCGGAATTTTTGAAAGAATCCGTATATAAAGCTTCTTTATGAATTATAGATAAGTTTAAAACATAAAAAAAAACTTTTTCTTTGGTTTGTAGACATTTTGAAATGAAAGACATGAACGACTTTTGTTGATCAGCCACCACTAATTACGAGTAGCAAAAAATAATTGCCAATTTATGTTATAAATAGATCTATAAATAGACTAAAAACCCAAAGGAATCATGTTTTCGAGGTCACGAGATATATTTATCTCTATGCCTAAGTTTCAAATTAATACGTTGGTTTCATAATCAGAGTTTCTCGTTACTTTTTTGCTTTCAATCAAGCACAAATCTTGCAAAATATTGTCTTTTCGGAAATGGATCAAATCATTGTGAAGTCTACACGAAAATTTGCCATAAAAAAGGAACTTTTATTTTTGCATCAGCAGCTTATATCTTTTATAACTCGCATTATCCTCTAAATTTAACGCCAGAAATATTTATTCTCTAAATAATACAACCTTAAATCTAGTTAGTCAAGGTTCTTCATGGACAACGACGACAAATCGTTAAATTACGTAACAAAGCATTAATTGAACGAAATATGGTTATTAATTTCAGCATGTCTAGATTTATACCTTCTAGGGATAATTATTCAGTAATAAAATAACACTATAAGAGTAACGCGAGATCACAAAAATGCATTTATAAAGCAGAAAGAAAGAATGTGAGTGCGGCAGATTTATTTTTAAATGTTCAGACATCTTTATCTGAATAGCATAAAGTGCATGATTGTGTAGTTTTTGGTTCATTGATATTACTGTCGCGACAAGCATAACAAAAAAGAAATAGTTTTTTTATTTGCAGGTTTCAGATACATTATAGATTATATTAAAGCATTACAATGACAGTAAAGCTACATGTATAATATGCATACCCCCTTCCCCGGAAAAATACATAGAAATCCCTAATATTGGATGTTAAGATCATTAGAAATAATTGGTACATGAATCTCCGCGAGCGCCCATCTTCGTCATTTTTATAATAAACTACAGAAGTGAGACAGTATTTAACGTTCTGTTTTAGATACTTGTGAAGGTGTCAAATGCCCAAGAGGAAAACATTGTCGAATAAAGAAAGGAGTTCCTAAATGTGCCTGTCTAATAAAATGTACCCAGGGACAGAGAAGGTCCAGGAAAATCTGCGGAACGGACGGAAGGACCTACAACAATGAATGTCAGCTACGGAGGCGGAACTGTAAGCGGGAGACGTCAGTATCTGTGGCCTACAGAGGTGTTTGTAGACGTAAGACATGAGCTTTAGAACTTTTGAGCCATTATAAATGATTTAATTAAGAAATCTCTGTCTCTTTTACCCCTATTTTGCATTTATAAACGATTTTTACGAATACTCCATAAAATATGCTTATATGCGTTTCAGAATCATGCAAAAAGGTAAGATGTTTGGATTGGAAACGTTGTTTAGAGGATCAGAATGGATTGCCACATTGTGTTCATTGCCAGATAAGCTGCCCCAATAATGATGACGTCAGAGTTTTATGCGGAGAAGATGGCGTGACGTATCGAAATCCGTGTGAGTTAAGGGCGGCAGTTTGCAGACGACATAGGTCAATTAGAATCGCCTATTATGGCAAATGTCGAGGTATAAATTATCAGAAATTACCTTTTATCACGATTTGTTTCGTAATACATGTCCCCAGCAAGAACACTTTATTTATTTCAAGTGCATTCGATACCTTACTTTTACGACATTCACTGTAAAACGCGCCTTATCTTTGTCTTTCAAGTAGTAATGCAAGTTGTTAAAAAATATATCAACTGTCTATTACTTTCCATAGCTAACGCTACTTGTTTGGACACTGGGTGTTCGGAAGGAATGTCCTGTCTAATAAATCCCGTTAATCACCAGCCTCTGTGTGCCTTGTGCAGATCACGCACCTGTTCCCCGATGTCACGGTACAAGGTCTGTGGGACGGACGGCGTGGATTATAAGAACTATTGTCACCTGATGCAGGCGTCCTGCAAAATGGGCATAGCTATAGATACTCGCCACAGCGGTTCGTGCGACAGTAGGTATAGTTAAGTAAACATGAAATGACATATCATGCATTTGTAGTGTCTGGTAGTAAACAAAAGATTTTTTTTTAATTTCAAGGATCTTCGTGGAGAAGAAAACAGAAGCACAAAAAGAGACGGCGGAGAAAAAAGAAAATTAGAGGGAGAAAAAGAACGCGATATGTTGATGCTGTTCTTAGAAGCTCTGATGGAATAAGAATCAAATTAAGATGTGAGCAGTTTTTTTATCAAACAATGTTGGAAGCGAAGTTTGCAAACAAGGTGTTTTATCGATAAAATATCTACCGTTTCTTTTTTTGTTTTCCAGTAAAACCGATGCATTCCAAGGACGATAGCGGTGTGTCACTTCCGTTGACTCTAGAACATTTATTTTCTCAGAAACATACCAAAGAAAACGGCTGAGTCGCCGCCATTATGGAGGGAAACCTGCCATAGTGCCAGACTAAGACAGTGCTAGCCACGTGAATAGCGGGAGCATGCGCGACAAATCCAAATATACGTCACTGCCATAAAAGTCTTTCTTCGCCACAGCGGCATTATAAATATTTTGATGTGTCATCGTCTTGTGTTTGTGTTGTTTTTTATTTATTGTAACTTATTAATTATTAATTTATTTATGAACATTGCTGTAATTGTTATATTTTAATGAAATCAAATCCTTTGAAGTTGGCCTTGACCTCTTCGCTTGTCTAATCAGATTTGGACTGTGAAGTTGAGGAAATAATGAGAAAAAATGGACAGATACTCTGAGAAATGTCATGTGAAGGACACAAACTTCCCGAGAATTTATACATATGTACATATATAAGTATTTCCGTCCTTTGTGAATGTGCCTTTATTAATTTTTACCAAATAAAATGTGGTAAAAACTCGTTTGTTTCTTACTTAAAAATGTATTGCATCGTAATAGGTTTACCCAAAACCAAAGAGGCAACGGAATGCAACGACAAGTAATGTGAAATGCAACCTGAATGTACCGATCATTATTCTTTTTTAAATGACAGCGTTAAAATTATACCCAATAAAGTATTATTTATAGCCCCTGGACGAAATAAATATAAATTATTTCACACAATAATACTGCAATTTTTGATAGAAATATTCTGTCAACAATGATGCTTCACGTGACCGACTTCAAAGGGAGTTTTGAGAATGTATAATAGAAGAAAAAGATAACATTGAATTATTTCCTGACAGATATTTATATTTGTATACGTAATGATACGCCTCAGAACCAAAACCATACATTAAAATTGGTACACGGATTTCAAAAAAAGCAACAAAAAAACTTTGCACTGAATGCACATACAATAGGCAGATTTTTTTTTTTAATTTAAGAACTTAGATTGTTAAATGTTTTGAGGTAAAAAAGAAATTCAAACCTGTGTGAGTCATTAAAGCGACAAATACATTACATTATCATATCAGACAGTATTCTTTCAGAAAATTTGCAAATAAGTGAACAGATATTCACTGCATCTTGACAAATAATTATCTCTCATTTCATTTGTTTTGACCGTTTCCTTGTGGATTTCTATTCTTATAAGGTACAAGTACATGGAAAATTCATACCGCATAACACATTTATCCACTCTCACACAGTACCAGGTAAATTTTACCTTCCAAAAAATTTTAAACAAATAAACAACGCGCACAAATGCTTGCTTTTCGTGAAATTATGAGGCATGTGGACACAATACTCACCTGATTCCCCTGGCCCTCCCTCTCTATATGAAATAATGTACAATATGCCCCCCCCCCCAAAAAAAAAAAAACAAAACAAAACAAAAACAAAACAAAACAAAAAACAAAACTGAACTTAGATAAAGCCATACACATGTTTTGACACCCCACAGATTACTTCCTCTTAATTTTTTTTTTTAAAATCCTTTCATTTATTATCTGTCTTTCTTTTATATGTACTCTTTTTATGACCTGGCCTATGCCTCAGGGGAAATGAATTGAACAAAATTATATATATGCACACTGATAATACATCCAAATTGATTTGATAAATCAAAACCATGACTTCCAGAGAAGGCCCAATAAAAATGTTTTACAAGTATATATTTTTTCACGTAAAAATATGGATCTCTTTCGTTGGTTCCTACTGTACAAAGGTTGATAGCTTAAACAAACTGGAGAGCATTACACGAGGATACTTGCAAATTTAATTGACTGTTACAACATTGGCGTTGTCGATTTTTGTTATATTGTAATATGTTTTACTTGAAACCCTGATGTGGTCCACCTTAGCCCCAAGGGTCCATCTTCTTAAGTCAAGGATTTCTGATCTACTTCGCTCCACTTAAACCCTTGACCATAAAGACATATTAATTTGACGGGGTTAGAAATGCGCTCTCTATGATTGGTCTCATAAAAATATGCATGAGCCAATCAAAAACGGTTTTATTTAACCTGAAACTATCTCGTAAGCAGTAAACACTCCAGTTTCAGTTGCAGCGAAAAACGTCTTTACCATTAAATAACTCAGTGATGTTGAATTAACTACCGACTTCCAATCTCTGTTGAATTCACTTACTCTTATTAGTCAATAGCATGGGTTAGTAGAGGTCCAAATCTGTAATCTCACACGATGGCGCGATAGTAAACTCCGTCAAACTTAGTCTATTCGGTCAAAACTTTATGTGGATCAGAGTGGATAAGAAGTCCTCGACTTGGGAAGCTGCTAAAGGCCATGACTTGACAAAAAAAAAATATAGCTAACAAGAATCTGCTTATTTGACCAATAAACTTCTATCAGAAAAGCTCACTTGAGTCTTTGGCTCAGGTGAGCTAATAAAAAAAAATCACAGTGCCCCTGAGTACAAGCATTTTTAATAAGTTTGAGGACAAGGCCTTTCATGCCAAGAGTAAATTAAATATAAACTGAGGAATTTAACTATCCAAGATGTTATTGACACCAAATTCTCGTCCTCGACTTGCAGACACCTCTCTTTTCACTAGACAGCACTGATTCACACAGAAATTATGACAACATATTCTATGGATTTATTCAATAGTTAAGAAACACGTTTTACGGATAGATAAAGTGACCTCAACCTTTTTACACTGTTATTCAAAGATTTACGCAAAACACATAAAAATATTTCAAACAAATGGCAGCCTAAAGAATTTAATCGATATTAACAACAATAATCAAAATTGTGCATCATTTTAAATTTAACAATAAAACAGAGAGAATTGGGGACCAATTTTTACATATTTTAGACTCGCTTAGGGTTAATGACCTTAAGGAGCTATATTGATTCGAGGTAGGTATAGACCTTCGTGAAAATTTTATGACAATGAGTTTTGTAATAGTTTGTATGTATGGACCAGTTCTGAAGAGTTTTAATTCTTTCACACATAATCATTGTTGATCGATTAGCTTCCAAGGGCAGACAGTCAACTTTTAAACGCCTCGAGCTATCCTGCCTTCGTGAAAAGCTGAATTCGAAATTGATTAGCGATTCGAACTTCTACCCTTGTTGGAGCTCTTCAGCAATGAAATTAAAACACATTCAAGTGTCCAAAATCATTGGGGGGGGGGATCAAGGTCAGTAATTATTAGTTATGTATATTGCCGAGAAAATGCATAATTAACTGATAAAAAGTAAAATAATTAATTTTCATAATTCTATTGAATTATATCTGTCTTTCATATCTGTCAAAAACGGGTTAAAGATATTTAAGTACATGTATATAAAAACGTCAATAATCTTAGTTCCAAAGAAGTGATTTCTTGATTCAGTCCCTTCTATTAATCATAGAAATATTTACTGTAATTGTTTCTTATAATTAAACCTCTAGACACAAAACAAATTATTTTCCGACCGTTCATTGTGAAGACAGTCAATTTTCTGAACTCCTTTACAGAAAGGTTTTGACACAGGGATTAATTCGAATAGCCTTAGAGAATATACATACATGTAAGTAAATAAACCAATTCATAATTAAAATAATAATTTTTAAAGTACTTTTAACCTTAATTTCACATTGGATTGATTGAAACTCACATGAAACTCTCTGAATGGCTTAAAAACTTTGGAGTGTATGCACTTAATTTGTGTATTTTGTAGAGAGAGAGTTTAAAGAGCAAATTAAGGAATCTATACTGTTGTCCAATTTTTACAAAAACCAGAAACCTGTATTTAAATCCCTTCTTTTTATCTCTGGCCCATTGAAAAAAAATTCCAATGTAAAAACGCTATATTTGAATACAAGTTGACCAAATTTACATAAGAACAAGAAGTGTTCGTGAAGCACCGATGCCCCTGTATGACAGCTAAAGCCAAGATTTAATTTTTTTAAAAAATATGTCAAACTCTAATGTCAAGGTAATGAGGCAAAAAATGGTACCCATAAAAAATTCTTGTCAAAAGGAATACATATACACATTTTCAATATGAAAACCCTTGCACCAACCGTTCAAGTTATGGTCAAGGTAAATGTTTTTCACACGTAGGTTAAACTCTAAGGTTAAGGTCATGAAGTCAAAAAAAAATTCTGGTACCCAAGGAAAGGTTTTGTCTTAAGAAATACATATGTGATATATCTGAAGGTCCTTGTACCAATCTTTCAATAGTTATGGCCAAGAATATTTTTCTCAAACATAGGGCAAACTTCAAGGTCAATGTCATGAGGTATAAAAAACTGTTGGTACTTAAAGAAAGAAAAACCTTAGGTCTTGTCACAAAGAAATCCATGTGAAATATGAAAGCCCTACCACCAATAGTTCAGAAAATATGACCAAGGTTAGAGTTTTTCAGAAGTTTTTCAAGGTCAAGGTGATGTTGTAAAAAGTTGAAACCCTAAGAAAGGTCTTGTCAGAAGAAAGATACCTGTGAAACATGAAAGCACCAACTGTTCAGAATTTATTTGCAAGGTTAAAGTTGGTATATTTTTTTTTTTTAAAAATAGTTCAACCTCAAAAGTCAAGGTCATGAAGTCAAATATTTTGGTACCCAAAGAAAGGTACTGTCCCAAAGAATGCACATATGAATTACGAAAGCCCAAGAAGCATGCTTTCAAAAGTTATGAGGAAGATTAAAGTTTCTGAGGGCATACAGATAAACAGACAGATGGACAAACTAAAAACTACGAGAATATGCCCCCGAAAATCCGATTACAGGGGGCTTGATAATGATGACTCTCAAACCCACACCTTGTTAACTTATATTGTTCATTTACCGTCCTTCTATCAGTCGGTTTGCTAACTTTTCATATTGGTGACCTCTCCAATACCACTGGGCCAATTTATATATTAACTGGATAGAGAAAATGATCAAAAGTTAAATCTTATAATGATGCAACATACTTAAGTTATTCAATTGATTCTACTAGAAACAGTTTCAGGGTGTCAGTGAAAACAAACTTGAAATTAAATGAAGTTGTGCGTTCTGGAATGAGGAACATATTGGGGAATTTATATGAATCATTTAACAAAAATTGCTTCTTGACTAAACTATTAACATTCTTGTCAGCGAT